GAGATATTCAAGTAAACGTGTTAAAAATATTCAATTAAAGCTTCGTAACCGGTATATTTTCGAATTACGGGATTGTACCAAATTGGGTTACACAAGATTCTAAATATATACATATAGTTACACAAATCTTAAAAAGGAAATTTTTGGCTATCGAAAAATTGGAAAATCACCAAAAAATGAGTTACACAAAATTCCCAAAATGGTAATTTGTGTAATATCAATTTACGTGAGTCAACTCGAGTCAACTCGAGTTGAAATGAGTCAATTTATTGACTCGACTCAACTAATGACTCGACTCGAGTCAAATGAGTCAGAAAATTTTTGATTCGACTCGATCCAAACTTGAGTCAACTCATTTGACTCGTGAGTCAACTCGACTCATTAGGAGCTCTAGAAGGTACAAAACCTTCTGGACGCTTATGTTTTTAAACGTGATATGGTATTTAGCTCAAGAGTATGCAAAAATATAGAAAAAGGAAAATATCCTGGTGCATACGTTTTTCCACCTGAAAAAGGGATTGAAACGAGAAGATCTGTAACGGGATTAGACTTTGCCTTATTATATCCCAGTCTCATCATAGCTTACAATCTCTCTTTAGATAAAATAATACTAACACATGAAGAGGTTAATATTGCGGAAAAAAATGGAAACATTTTACATAAGATTGAGTTTTCATTCAATAATTGCATTATCCAAACTAAAAGTGTAAGACATATAATAAATTTGAAAAGAAGGGCTTATATCCTGTTGTATTAGAGGATTTATCTAACAAGAGGCTAGAACTTAAAGCATGTCTGACCACACTAGAAAAGAAAAGGCAACATCTTGGAAAGATAATAAGTTCAGCTAAATAAAAAGGCAAAAGGATTCCAGAAAGCTTAAATTTGGAATATTCATCCGTATGCTTCGATTACGATTATTGAGATTTAAAGCAAAAAGCTTTAAAGGTATATATGAACACTTTTTATGGGGAGGCAGGCAACTCAAAATCTCCAATCTTTCTCCGTGAATTAGCTGGAGGAACTACTTCGGCAGGAAAATATAATCTTAATCTTGTCGCAGAATTCGTAACAAAGAAAGGATTTGGGATAAAATATGGTGATACTGATTCTTTATATCTTATCTGCCCAGATAAGTATTATGAAAAATGTGATGAAGCCTTTTCCAGAAAAGATCTTTCTAAAGAAACGTACTGGACTGAAATGGTCAATATTACTATATTGTGATGAAAAGCTTGCGTGATCAAGTAAATGCTTATCTTTGGATAAAGAATAGCACATCTTATCTTAAGATGGCATATGAAGAGGTATTATTTCCCGTCTGCTTCACTGGCAAGAAAAAATATTTCGGTATATCACATGAAGATGTGGTTAATTTTAGGCCAAATTAAAGATGATACAGCAATTGATTTCAAATTTACAAAATGTTGCAACATAAGCTAAAATTAGTTGCAACATATATAGGTTAAAACTAATTGCAACATAAGTTGCAACATTAAAAGTTGCAACATATTAATTACAGTTCCCATCTTTAGGCCAAATGATCTCTTTATGAGAAAAATTGATACTGTGAAGCAAGGGAATTCTAAGCTCTTCAGGTTTATCGGAGAAAAGATTATGTGGGAGACAATTAGTATCAATAATACATGTTCAATTCGTAAAATTGTTGAAGACGCTCTCCAGGATGCTAGATTTAAGCAGTGAGATTTTAATCAATTTATTGTAATGTCTAAATAGAAGGCTAAAGGTGGCCTCGCATGCAATAAAACCTTTATGGAACAAATGAGAGAAAGAATAGCAAGTGAAGAAAAAAATGTAAAGATCCTTGACTCTGGGAAGTGCTTTAGCTATATCGTTGTGAATGACAGCCCTCGTTATAAAAAAGATGGTTCAAAATTGACAAGAAAGGGTGATTACATAGAGTTTTCAGAAATTGTAAAAGAGTTTAATATAAAGATAGATATCAGTCATTATTTAGAACAAACAGTAGGAATGTGTGCACGTTTTATCAATGAGGATGATATGGGACCTTTGCAATAGAAGGGGGGAAACTGCCGAGAAAAATTAATTTTACTTTTATATGCCAAATATGATTTTTATGCTGAAATATGTTCAAATTTAGCATTAACTCACTT